CATTGTTTGTATTTTCTTAAAAGAAAAGTTTGTAATAGAATTCAATAGGATAGTTATCAAAAGTAATTTTTTTCCCTCTCCTTGATGGTTTAGTGAAATATAATCACTTTTTAAATGTTTTTCTTTTATATAATCAGTATACCTCTTTAGCTTCAATTAGTAAGAAGCCTCGGATAATATTTTTATACTTATTATCTCTATATATGTATTTCATGAAAGAAAATTAGATGTGTTAAAGTTATACTTTCCCTGTTTTGTTATCATTTATTTGGACAGTTTCCTCCGAAAACAGTTTGAGGTTGTGAATCTGTCACCTAATTAAAACTTCAGATTAGCAATTTTCAAATTTAATTGGAAAACAAGTTTAATATGTTCTTTTTAAAGGATACAACTTAGAATAAATTTAATTATAAAATGTGAATGTTTAATAATCAGTCCACAATTGACATATTATCTTGTTTCAATATAAATTTGTCTTTAACCTTAATTTCAAAGCAGATCTTGGTTTTGCAAAGACACAATATTCAAAGAAAAAGGAATTAACAAATATAATTTTTTATATCAAAAACCTTCATGAAACACTTAGTGACTTTTTGCCATAGGGCAGGCGCCACCACACCCCTTAGTGACTTTTTTATCTCAATTGCAGAAAGACATACACACGCACACATCTATCATATATATATATTCTTAATCAAATTTTATTACAATTTAGAAATGCTTTGATATTTTATCTCAAACATAAAGTGATTAATTTTTTAAAGAATTATTTATTATTATTATTATTATTATTATTATTATTATTTTAATTAAACCAGAGCAGAGAGAGAAGGAAAGTGAGTAAGCAAGTCACCACATGTGGGACTTGAATTGCCTTTGTCCATGTGGGAATCCAGTGCCTTAATTACCACATCACCTGCTGGCCCCATGACTAATTTTTTAAGCATATTCAAATAACAAAATCAAAATCAAACCTCTGGCATGTCTTCTGAAATAAGCATAGTTCATCAGTTATAGGAATCTTTAACTTCTAATCCTATAAGTCAGCATTTAAAAAAATGTATTTTGGAAATTCTGAACTATTTTAGCAAGGTATTAACAGAGAGTAGGTGTTGAGGGAAAGGTTAGGGTACTGTTGTCAAGTGATTATTCTTTACTGCAGAATTTTTAGAGATGTGCATGTGCAAATTTATAATGTGAAACGGAGAGAGAAATGAGATTGAATAGAAGCCTGCTGCTTTTTCACTTTCACTTATTTTCCTTTGATGGAGTACAACACTGGGTATGAGAGTTGAAAGAAAGTTTAGGAATTATGTGGTCCATCCCCTCAGTGAAGGAACAGTTCTGACTTGCATTGATTCCTATAATGCTGGCATAAATTATTTTTCATTCCAAGGAAGGAAAGAGACTAAGTTTTGTTGAAACCGGAAAATTATTTCTGAATTATTTTCTTTAGATAGAGAAAACTACTAGGAAAGAAAAAAAAATCAGCTTACTGGTGAGGAATTCTCTATTATGAATATAAGACTTTCTTCTCTAAGGGTATTATTCTCTGTGTAGTGTTGTCTTTATGGAAATAGGATACACAAATGTAGAAAAAAGAATAGAAAACTTAATAGGGGGGCCAGCAGATGGCATAATGGTTATATCACTGGACTTATAGATGCCCTATGTTGATTTGAGTCCCAGATCTGGAAGCCTGAAACTCATGCAGGGTGCATATGTGTGCGTGCCCAAAATGCCGAGAGGAGAATAGAGGAGAAGGGATTGCATCATGGCCAGCCCTCTTGGGTGGTGATGTCTTGCTTTCTGTCTCTCTGGCTCTCTAGCAAGCACATGCACCCTATAGCAAAAATCTCTCTTAAAAAGATAATGACTTAAGAGGAGCCAAATAATTTTGGAGGGAATCCTTTTTGGTTACTGTTTATCTCAAGGATTATTCTTCTAGTTTTAAATTAAAAATAAATTTGCCCAAGTTTGTTGATTAAGGTGGTCCATTGAGATGACATTGCATAAGGCCCAGTTCAAGAATTTTTGCTTTTGGGAATCATGCATAGATAATGGTTGAGTCTGGAGATAAGAGATCTGTTTGAAATTAGAATTTAATTGATAACATTTAAATGGTTATATTATTCTATTTTTATCTTTACTTGCTTATATAGCAAATATAGATTAATAGTCTTCTTAGATCTCCCAATAGTGACTTAAATATAAATGACATTACATAAATTTAACCATTTCTAAGGAGTAGGGAATTTTGCAAACAATGTTAAACCACTATTCCAAAGGCCAAAATTGACTTACTGTTTTACAAAAGGTTTCCTTGCAAGACAGTCACATCCATGTATGTATGCATTGTCAGCTGCTTTCATGTTGCAATGGCAGAGATATTGGCATATGATCTACAAAGTCTACTGTAGTTACTCTTGGGCCCTTTACAGAAAACGTTTGCCAACTACTGCCAGTGTATCAAATTACTACCTAGTAATCAGAAAGAAATTAATGTGACATCCATAGGAAGTTGACTTTCAGAAAATAGCCTAGATATTAAAAAATGCGTATATGTGTTTGTGTGTTATCTATATGTGTGCAAGCTTTAATTTCTTCATGTATTGGTGCTATTCCTATCTTTTTTTTTTTTTGCTGTAGTAATATTAACATGAAACTTTTCCAAAGAAGCTTCCCAATCAATTTTGTTAATATTCTTTTAGCATATATAATTTTTTGATGCTCTGATATTTTTTAAATTCTTTTCCTTTGGAGAAAATAAACATGTTTACCTGAGAATATCTCTTGGGGTACAAACAATCACAAAATTTTCAATAGACTAATAGACATTTATATTTCAAGGTGTGGTATTAGCTGTTGAAGATATTTTGTAGTTTTATCAACAGTACTAGGGAGAAATGTTCACCTGTTTAAATATCCATTTTGTAAGACAAATAATAATGTGATTGAGTGTATGGAAGAAAATGAAATGAAAAAAAATATAAAACCTGGTCTTATTTATCATTCAATTCATATGACCATGATATTAATATTCCTTGCTTTCAAATTTGACAATTTATTAGCCAGATCATTAGTAAAATGTGAGTACTACAAGAAATAAAGTGTCTAATTGTATTGAATAGTAGATTTAAATTTGTTGATATTTTTATGGGTTGGGCGAGTTGTCTTCAAAAAGTTCATGCAAAATATGTATTATGAATAAACTAGATATGGGTTTCAAAAATTGTTTGCACCAAAGTAAACTTGTACTTTGGTTCCATTTTCTATGAACTTTTTGAAATCCTCTCGTATGACGTTATAAAATATAATACATACTTTTAATCTAAGATAGTTATACTCCTTTGAATTTTTCTTCCCTTTTTAACCAATTTAATTTTACTTAAAATGTATTATGAGAATTGTCAGATTTGCAATGAGAACAGAGAATAATATTAAAAATTAAAACATTGGCTCAAGAAAGAATATGGTAACTTCTAATTATACTAGTACATTTTCAACCTATTTTCCCTTTTGCTATTTTAAAAATCAGGTAAGTATTAAACTGTGCAGGCCTAGAAGTTTTCCTTGTCTGTAAAAGTGATTTAACATCTAAACCAAAGATCTGCTTTATTTATTAAAACAAAAGGTGTATGTGGAAAAAAGAAAAAAAGATGCCTATTTTTAATAGGTATACTCTTATCTAGATGTCTTGACTGCCGTTGTAAAGTTATGATCTTAAACAAGTATGTGTATGGTTTTATTCCTGCCTATACACACAATACTCATGAACTTCCTGGCAACATTTTATTGTGAATACTTTTAGTATCCAGTAAGCTTATTTTTCCCAGTGTGTAGGTTTGTAGTATATAATTGTGATTTTTTTCCGTCATATGTGTTTACAAGAAATGGAATTTTCCTGGAAAATCTCTTTTAGTAGAAATTATAAATATACTTCTCAGACATGTTTTTATGTTTTCTAAGATTTGCTGACTGAATTTAATTCTGATTATAACCCAAGTTTTAGGATACCCTCTCAATAATTGATGTGTTTGGAGGTCACACTTCCTACAGAGGACATTAATCCCATTTTATAATAGGCTTACCATATCACTTTCTTACTCACAATTTAACTTTTTATCTGAATTAATCTCAGTAATATGTTGTGCCTTTACTGACATGGTATATTATCAGTAATGTTTTTCCAAGAACCTCTTTCTTAATTCTAGTTTCAGAAAATTCAAGTTCCTCATAACTGGATCCACATCTATGCCTGGGCAACCTGCTTCAATATATAACCTGAATTTATGATCATGTTTTTTTTTAAATTGCCAGGGGGCATGTGTATTCTCCAGAGACAGAGCAAGAGAGAGGGAGGAAGCACTCCTCAGTGGGGCATGGTCATGCTGTAATCCCTTCTCTTTCATTTCTCCATCTTGTCAGGATCTGGGGCATATATGTGCCCTTTGTGTTTTTAAAACTTCAACTGGGATTTGAACCCCAGTTGACCATATGGGACCAGCTCCCTGAGTCACTAGGCTATGGGGCTGGCCTTATGATAATAGTTTTTAAATGCAATTGCAAAAGTGTATTTGAAATTAATTAGCTCCATAACTCTATTACCAATAAATGAATCCAATCATGATGAATTAAAAGCCAAAGTGGTTATAATATTGCTATTGTCAGATCTGTGTGACGTCAAATATATCCTCCTGGACATGCATTTGCCAGAAAGTGTTTTCTGTTTAGTGAGATTTGTTGTCTTCTCTTCAAATTCATTTACATTTTATTAAGATTAAAATTATTTTGCGTACTTAATCATCATGCTTTTATTTACCAAATTGCATACTTTAAATACATCTTTAAAAAAAAAAACAACTATGACCTTTAATTTGTACATACTACCTTGAATGAAAATAATATATCAGCCTAGAATTTCTCCTTTTATACATCCTGTAAGTAGGACTTAAGTAAGAACTGAGCATTAATTTTATGGGTTTTTTTCTACTCGATAGGTGCTATGGATATAGAGGAGAGAAATCGCCAAATGAAAATTAACAAATACAAACAGGTAGCCGGATCAGATCCCAGACTGGAACAAGATTACCATTCAAAGGCAAGACATTTTTCTTTTTAAAAGTTGTAAAATAATCAATTAATCATATGAAACCGCTAGAGACTTTTACACTACTGAACTACACATTAGTCAGATACAACATATAACGCCCCATGACAAAGCGTTAAAATTTATAATGTGTTTATATTACCAGCTCTTTGGGCTAATATTTGCCTTATTTCAAAAAAAAAAAAAGCCCACATTATTATATACAAAGGAAACTAAAGATCTAAAGAACAGATATTCTGGAATTTTTCATTTTATAAAACCTACAACCCCTCAAAAATGTTTAGGGAGATTTTCTATGATCTTTTTATGGTTTTCTTACATTTAGGTATTTCAACATTTTATAGTATTTTCATTGAATTTGTTTTATTACTAAGTTATTAGAACAAAATACATACTCATTAAGCATTGCTAAGAGCTTAGAAGTTCTTTTAGTAAGAATATTTTTTAACTAGCTTTTTGGACTAAGTTAAGGTATAAGTTTACCAAAGAAGGAGATAAAGTATATTATTTCAGCACTCTTGCCATTTATTATCTTATATTTTATATATCTTATATTTTATATTTTTCAAGACATTTTTAAGTTCACAATATTATTCATGGCCAAAGTCATTAAAAGGTTGCTCTGTTTTACCTATTGAAGATTTAATAAAAGAATAAGAACAGTAAACGTTACTCATAACATTTCACTGTAATGTGCTCTGACTTGGTAATGTGATCATTGCAATCATATAATGTTTGTTGTCTCTGTGTGTGCAGGAAAGCAGTTTGGCTTTTTTAGACTTAGGTCTATTCTATCCTTAACATACTTAACCTTCAGTTCTCTCCATTGGAGTCCATTCCTCACTAAAGTCGAGAACTTACTAAGTAAAGCATAAGTGACTGTTGGCTGTACGAATAAAGAAGGCAGCACCAGTTTAGTCTCCACTAATCTGGCCTAGAAGCAGAGATTCTTATGTAAGCGTGTACTTCCAAGCTTCCAATCTCTTCCCCAGATTACGAGAATGCTCATATGGTGATTACAGGATTACTCCTCACGGAATTCTCATGGACTAGAAATGGCCTAAAGCCAGGGAGAAGTAAATTTAAGACAAAAATTCCCTTGGCTTAACTCAGCAGGTTCTAAACTTACAGGAATTATTCACTAAGATGAAAATGTGAATAGCTTCAAATAGGTACAGTGTATTTCATAAAGAATAGCACTATAATGACATATATTTCAGGTACATCCATAATCTTTTGAAATGGATACCAGAATTGATACCTATGGGGTGTGTTTGGGTATTTCTGCCTTAAGTACTATTTATACACACACAGCTGATCTTTTGTGGGCTCTCTAATGCGCTTATTGTCTCATCTGTGTTTGTTTTATATGATCCTCAAACCAAAGCATGAAACTAGTAAAATAAAATATCAAACTTTATGTAAACATGTACTCAGATAACATAAATTTGTTTGTTTATGTTCTATTATACTTTAGGAAGGGATGTAAATGATTTTTTAAAATATATGTAATGCTCCAATAATATTGTCAATGAAGAAAGGAGTATCAAGAGAAAATAAAATTAAAATAAAACAAAGCAACTCCAGAAGTAAAGTTCGTGAACAAAATGTATAGTGTGAGGTCATACACACTTGTTCAGATACAACAGTTATTTCAACCCAGAGCTTCCTAACAAGCAGCGAAGCCAGAAAGGGGTACTGGATCAGGTGTGCTGCTTCCCTTGCTCATAGAGTAAAACTAGTTCCCTTAGAAGCAACAACTATGATTGTCGTTATGCTGTTTGGCAGAAATTTATTACAGGATGCTGAACCAAAGGAGTACTCTCAGCATGGCTAAGAATTTTTTTTTTCTTAAAACAGTTTTTGATTCCAATTAATAAGTAAACGAATGCTAAGGTTTCAAAGTTTTGTATCTTTGACACTAATCATTTTAGGTTGATAAAAAACTTAAGGTTGGAAAGGATTTGGTAAATACTAAGCAACAAACAGTTTCCTAGGTACCCTCTAAGGTAGTGATTTGTACACACTAAGGTTGTGATTTTTCAAAGTGTCATGAGCAGCATCATCAGCTGAAGGTTTTACAAATGCTGTTCCTGGGCTCTTTCAAAACCCACAGAATCAAAACTCAGAGGTTAGGGGCCCTGGCTTAACAAGCCTACCAGGTGATCCTGATGCACACTTAAGTCTGAGAATGACTGCTGTGAAGTGAACAGATTGTAAAATGTACTTTTAGGAACCTGAATGAGTTGACTTCTTCAATTAGGGTTTTAGCTAGAAGCCAGAGGTGAATGTTATCAAAATATGGAGACTGTTTTGAGAATAAATGATCTTGTACCTTAAATAAAGCCTCATAATTTCTAACAAATCCTATCAATGCATAGCCAGTACTTACCGTTCTGTTTTCTCTTGCTAGGATACGTAGCCAGTTTACTCAAAAAATATGTTCAAGTAATTAAGGTATAGCTTGTTGAAAAGTTCCAAAACACAACCTTGCTTTGTACCTCTGCAATTATTTCCTGCCGTGGAACTATCTTTGCTGAGTCATCTCTCTTCCATCATCCCTTGATTAATCGTCCTCTATTTTTGGTCAAAGAGAAAATTATAGAAGATTCTTCTTCAGTCAAGGGCAGATGTAGATAAAGTTTTTAATTTCCATATTAACAGTTACTTAAACTATTCAGCATCAATCCTTGCTTTTTGATGAGAGATATTTAGCTTGTATTTCCATGCTTCCTTGTTTCAATAACAGGTACCAATTATAGAGCCTGCTGTTGAGCTGTGTGTTACAATACATTAGAACTAGTTCCTGAAAAAAAAAAAAAATATTTAGCAGGTGAGAGAATTGAGATGTAGAAAGGCAATCTACCCAAGTTCACATGCCACTGCGTCTTGGAAAGTATTCTTTGTACCTAATCCAGTTGTTCTAAATTGTAGATGACTGAGAAACCCATGGCCTCAGACACACAGAGCACATGCTGTATTTCTGAGCTGTATGTGTTTCTGAACTTTTCAGTGACACCATTCCGAAGCTCTGTGTAGAATCTAATTGAGTGCTAGCCTTTTCTAAACTATATACAGCCCATAGTTTATAGATAGTATTGCTGAATTTCTTAACGCTTCTATCCTGATAGTCGTCAATATGTCTTACTATATTTTTTAAAATCTTAGTAACCCACTTTGAAGATATCTATACAGCAAAGTCTGTTGTTACCATCTTCCTAAGAATATTTTTACTATAATAGGAAATAGCATAGAGACTATTTTTAATTAAAGCAGTAAAAAAGCATATTCAGACACAAGCCCGGGTTAATCAGTGGATAATTTCCCAGGGGCTATCCCGTAAAATAGAATTTAACTATGTGCACTCTTTCAGGCCTATTGCACTTTCTTTACTCTGGCTCAAATATGCTTTATCTATTCTATTCTCAGCAGTAATTAAAGGATCAACTTCTATTTTCTCTGGAAAGCCAATTTTCTCTGCTCTTAATTGGCTCAGAAAAAAGAGACTTGTCTATTAAATTTAGCAGTACAAATTATAGTTTGCCAGAAGCCAACTATAGTTCCGTGTGATACATAATGATAAATTAACATACTTATCAATAACTACAGTCAAACAATGTATTTATGCATGAAACTTAATATGGAGAATTTGATAATGTTTATTTAATATATAATGTTTATTTCTTGAATTAGCTATACTTGTTATTTTTAAATGTTCTTAGAAGGAATATTGTTATGAAGAAATTTTTGAAAAAGTAGTCCAACTTATTTCCCTGTAGAAACAGGACCAGCAGATGGAGTAGTGCTTATATCACTGTATTCTCACATGGCCAACCATGCTTTGAGCACTGGACCTGGTGGCTTGAAAATCATGCCAGGCATGTGTGCATGTGAGTCCAAGATCCCATGAGGAGAATAGAGGAGAAGGGACTGTGGTGTGAGCATCACCCCGGGGAATGATTTCTCACTTTCCCTCTCACTGTCTCTGTCTCTGACTCACTCTGGTGAGTGCACACATCCTATGGCAAAAACCTTAAAAAGAAAGAAAGAAAGAAAGAAAGAAAGAAAGAAAGAAAGAAAGAAAGAAAGAAAGAAAGAAAGAGTGCCCTTTGCTAAAGAGCATTTCGTGAGAATGTTTCCACAAAATCACCAAAAAATTCTTACCCCTTTTATAGCATGTATATCATAATTTCCCATTTTCTTATTTGACTTTCTTGAATTAAGTAGTAGTATAAACCATGAGTTGCCCAGATGCATTCAGATGTAGGCCAGAAGCCCACAATAATCTGTTTAACCCATAATGTAATAGATTGAGTTAATGCTCTGGGAGCAAGGAGCAATGCAGTAAGAGACAGGAAAAGAGGTTTTCTTCATTCTTTGTACATGCCTAATCGTAGGCACTTCTCACCTACATCTTTTCACCTTTTCTCCTAGATTTTTAGTTCTTTAGATCTGTCTAGTCCATTCATAGATCTCAAAGACATATTAGGAGGAAAGCAATCAGATTAAATTATTAGTTTACATTAAAATATTGATAATGCAAAAAAGTGACAAAGCTAAAACAATTAAATAACAGATGTTTCATTTTTAGAAAACCTCTATAAATACAAATAAGCCTAATATTAATAAAATTGTAGGTGGTATCAATATCAAATATTTCAGACAATTAAAGACAAAGTATTTTTGGCAAATAGATTGCCACTGCTAGCTAATGTTTTCTATTTCATTAGAGTTTGTTCTTATATGTTCAATGCTAGACTTAGGTGTTTCACACTGAGTTTCAAGACATAGGCAAGCAAGGGGGATTGTGGATGACTAGGAGTTGCGATATACGGGCTGATTAAAAAGTTTTGGTGTTTATGTAAGTCAGAAGTACTTTAAGGCTCAGATATAATCCGAATGGTTCAGCCAAGAAACATGCTACATAGTGGGTTGAAGCAGTGTGGAAACAAGCAGATTCCACCTGGGTAGCTTTGAGAAGGTTCAACATC